AAGATGTGTAGGTTTATGTATGTATATATTGTATTTAAATTGTGTGTGTATATATATATATATATATATATATATATATATATATATATATATATATATAAAAGACATTTTTTATGTTTATATTTCTTTTTATAGATACAAATATTTATCGAAATGCTCTGTTTATAATAAACAGTTTTAACAACATTTACTGGCCTGAATATATAGAAATTGTCATAGAATCGAACCTGTATGCTACACAGATTTTACTGTTTTTAAACTACAATTTTAAAATTGTGTATATAATATTTAAACTGTCCTCTGTGACAAAATTGGTAAAAGCACGTTAGGCTATATGACGGTTCCGTATGTATGTTTGTGTGTTTCTGTATATGTGTGTGTATATATATATATATATATATGTATGTATATGTATATTTGGTTTGTTTACTTTTTTATGTTGCTGTGTGGGTTGATATATTTATGTATGTTTCCATGTCTGTATATATGGGTATATATATGTATATGTGTATATGTTCGTGCGTAGGTATACTTTTGTGTGTTTCTGTCTGTAGTGAAGAATGTGTGTACACATAGGCCTATATGTATTTTTTATTTTCTTTCACATATTGTTATCTATTTGTACTCGTGTATATATACCAGTGTGTATATAGGTGTATATGAGATATTTATATATATTTATGTGTTTGGGAGTTTTCTTTTTTATATATTAGATGGTGTTATTTTTATGCATATATATCTATTTTTCTGCCCATGTCTGTATGTTTTAGTGGCTTTTTTCTTTATGTTGTTCATTGATGAATGTTTTTCTGTTATGCCCATGTTGAACCATTTTTATCTATATTATCTATATCTTTTTATCTATATATCTTTGCTCATATAAGTTATACTTTAATAGGATGTTAGAATTCGTTTAATAACAATTTCAAAATTGAATATTCCTTGGTGGGTGTATGGGCGTATCTTTGTCAATGTATGTGTGTGTATGTGAGTGTCTTTCTCGGTGTGTAGGTGTATATGATCGCTTGTGTGTGCCTTTCATTGAGTGTGTATTTTTTCTTTTTTTTTAAGGGTCGTGAACATATTTCCTGTCTCATCGCTTCTTTGTGTGTTTATATATCCAAATATGTCTGTGTGTTTCTGTATTAAAATCTGATTGTGTATGTATTGTCTTTTGCAAGATTTCATCTTACCCTACCCATGTCTTCACTCCAAATGTATCTAAATTGTAACGGAGTTCAGAGCAGCATTAGATCTTAACGTTTATTCCAACTTAATTTCAATAAAAACAAAATAAATAGAAAAACATATGTATTTTTTTTTTACTCAGTTTCTTTAAATAATTTTATAATTTTAAACTTAACATGGATTAAATCTAAAATTTAAAATTAATTAACTATGCCTAAATCATTCATATCAAAATATATATAAATTAGAAGATCATAAAATGTGCTTTATTCAGTGAGAAAGAAAAGTGAAAGTTTGTATAAGTTCTCAGTTGAACCCAAGCAACAAGTAAGACTGGATATATGAAATCAACATTAAACACAGAGCCTATCAGATAAAATGACATTAGACATTATAGCAGAAACAAGAAGTGATTTCTATTAGTAGTGACTATGTAAGTCAATCACTGAAACAGACATTAGTTAATGCATTGATAGAAGAAAACTTCAGGGTTTCCATTCTGCCAATTTACCAAAAATAGTTGTTTATAAATAGTTGATAACAAGAAAATAAAATGCGAGGATTTGGGATGATAAAATGAAAGAAAATCATTTACTACAGAACTGACTTCAAGTATCCTTAATTAGCATTTTTTTTTTCAAATTTATCAAATAAGTCTATATACAAAGTTCTCAACAAAACCAAGAAGGAATTCTAGAACAAATTCTAGTGTTTGGTCATTTGGTCAGATTTGTAGAAGTGGGCCAGGCCAAGATCTTTTCAGCACCCCTGCCCCCTTGTACCTTATTCAGTTATGTTTTGTATTTTTCTTTTTAATTTGAAGTTGTAAAACTTAGTCTTGTCTCCATGGCACTCATGGTTATTCTCACATAAAGGTTTCAGTTGAAATACTGTTGTCCTGTTATTACAACTTGTTTCTTTGTTTTTCTCGAGTTTAATAATATATCAAATATTTTCTTTGAATTTATCCTTCATGAGCAGGTACTGACTGATGACACGCATAGATACATTTTAAAATTAGACATTTAAAATACCTACTTTATATAGGATGCTAGCTTTTCTCTTATTTGCAATTGTTGCTCTAATTCACTTTTTTTTAGAGTCTTGGCACCTTACATTAACATTAATAAAAACTAGTAATAGTAGTAATCATCATGTTGATAGTCTGTTGATTTTAACAATGACCATGTCAGAAGATTATTAATAATGGGAAAATTGGAGAGAGTGAAGTTTATGAGCCAATATAGCTAGACAAAGAGAAAACTACAAATCATTATATGTGAAGTCAAGCTTATTATTTTTTTTGTATCCTTGTTTTTGAAATATGTGTGGGGTAGATAATTGTATGGTATACCTTGGTTATTATATATTTAAAATGTATTTGTAATTTGTACAAGAAAACTTTTATTTATGTAGATTAAAATAAAAAATAGATGATACATATACATTTTAAATAATACATATTTTATATATACCAAACATATATGCAAGTATTTACACATACCCACAAAGATATAAAATTAAAGATGCATATAGATAAAAAGTATAGATAATATGCACAAGCATAAATGACTGAACAGTCTGTATCCAATTTAAAACTTAATGCATAAAATAACACAAAGTAAAATAATTTCTATTAAAACAACAGCCATGTTTGTGTCATTAATCATATTGTGTGTGTGTTTATATATATATATATATATTTAAAATTATATAACATTATATCATATCATATATCAACAAACAGTATTTAGAAAAATAGTATGACAAAATGGGAAAGTTTTTGTGATGTGTTTCATCCAGATGAAATGTGTCACAAAAACTTTTTTTCATATTTGCCATACTATTTTTGTAAATATAGAAAAAGATAATATATATTATAACTGATATGGATTTTTAAGGTGTTTTCTTGATTTATCATTATATATATATATATATATATATATATATAATAGCTGGCCACTCATATTCAAGGATACCTGCCTATTAGGGCAGGTAGTCAATCCCTATAGCAGGCACTCACTCAGGTGAATTTGTGTTTGTTCAACACCCACATAGCCACATGTGGTTTATACTGCAACTATGCTGTGCAGACCTTAGTTACTGTTTCTAGGAGAGAATGTGTTATCTAGCATGAGCAATAATTTGAACAAGGCCAGCACACTCAAACCCTTGGTCACAATAACTTGTGACTTTGTGCTAATACAGCTATTGATGGCTCCCAAGTATTCCATCTACCAAATTTCATTCACAAAGCTTGGGTCAACCCGTAGTACGGTTTTCAGGCACTTTCCAAAGGTGCTGCATACTGGCATCATCCCCCTCCAGACCAATAAGATCAGGAAGTCTCTTTCCTGACAAATCAACCGTGGTGAGAACCTGGGTCTCATGGTCAGAAAGCAAACATTCTAACTACTCGGCCACGTGCATATATATATATATATATATATATATAAAAGCAATTGTGCCCTTTTAATATTGCTTTGAGAATGGAGATAACAGTTTCACCATATTTGTCTAATATCTAATTTTAATTGTAAGTCAATGTAAACAAGAGACAAGTATCATCCACATAAAATCATGTGAAACTGTACAAGGAATGGCCTGCATTTTATTAATGAGGTGTCTTAACAAATCTATACAATAAAAATGTATACGGACTTCCATTTCCATAACAGAAATTTCTACATAACATATTGCTAACAAACACTACAACAGTAAAAGATACAATGCTATAATGACATGTATTTACATAATAAAAAGTATGCATGCATATACATAAAAGATTATAAAATTTTCCATAACATGTAGAATTTCCCACATATCAAAGGTGAAAGCAAAACTTACAAGATGTTTATACATAATCTAGTTTCTCTCATACACATGATCGCACATACACATATATGTATATAAACACACACCAAAATACATATACACATAAAAACATACGTGTATGTGTACATGTACACATACACATTGAAACATGTTTTACTGAAATCACCCAACAAGTTTTCCAGTTTTCATATAAAAACTGTCATACATTGAAATCAGTTATGAAGAAACCAATCCAAAGATCATCAGGTTTTGTTTTAGTTTTTTTCTGACCATTATCAAGAACATAAATGTTATTACTTACAATAGAAACAAAGTTTTTGATCAATTTAATTCTTTTTTAGCAAATTTTTAACACACACATTTTAACACATAATTCTTAAATATTGAGAGAATTAGCATTAATTATAATAAACATTCACTCATCTTGTCCTTAATCTGAGATTACACTCACTCAAGAGGAGACTTGATTATAAAATACTTTACATTCAAATTTCATAAAGAGTGAATGTAATCTCCATGAAACTCAAGTGAATATTTAATTTAGTTTATCACACACACAGACATCATCATCATCAAATAATTTAAAGATAAAAGAAAAAACACTTCATGATTTTTCATTACCAATCAAAATAAAACAAGTCATGTTCATGACATAATTGACAATAATTTCCCTAACATATCAATTATATGTATATATTTGTTTGTAAATTATTGTCCATATCTCTCACTGAAATAAGCAAGAGTAATATGAAAATATAATTCAACCATTCTACTTTTTTTTATTTGTTTATATGATCAAATAACTACTAACAGAGATTATTTACAGAATCACTAATAATATTATTTTCTGAAATAGGTGTATAGTCCATGTGTGTGTGTTTATGTTTTCCTTATTTTGTTGGAGGAGGATGTTATTTTCATAGTGACCCTGATTCATAATATATTCACACACAAATATAAGAAACAAAGTACTTTACCTTTGAAAAATATTTTTGGAGACTGAATATCTTCATTGTTCTGATTATTCAAAAATAACAGAAAGCTGATGAATCTCTGAATAAATTACTTAGTCCCATGATATCCACATATCCAATTTTACAGTCAAATTCAGAACAACAAGCAAGAATTTCTGTTAATAAGCTGAAGCATAATTGAGGTTCCAATTCAAGGAGGATCTTTTGTAAAAATCAACAGTTAATATCAAAAGTTGAAGAACTTTCCAAAACTCTGAATAATTGTGAAGTAATCTCCCTTGTCTTCCAGAATATAAATTGTCACAGAGAAACATTTGAGATTTTTGTTTTAAATATAATACATATTATCAGTTTCCTTTTATGGAAAAAAAGATAAATTTCTTTCCAAAATATATTTGTGCATTTTTTTTTTTTTTTAAATCCAAAGGTTGAAGTGGTGAATGGAAATACTTCACCAATTTAAAAAAAAAAAAAAGGAAAAGAAAATGAAGTAAATTTAAACAAACACCAAAAAAGTCCATCAGACAAAACAAAGTTTCCAAGTGTTCAGGTTGAAGATATCCATTTTTTGATTGGAAATTCGAAATTATCAAGAAGAATGAAGTTGATCAGATGCAAGAAATCCAGCAGTTAAAAATGGCACAAATATTGAATGCATATTCCAATGGCAATCTCTGAAATATTTCACAGAAATTTCACATACATTCACACTTGCTGAATCAGTTGGTTGACTACAAAGGTCAGAGTTCACAGGAAGGACATACAACTAAGTTATCATGGTGGTTGAACCTTTACATGGAAGTGTTTTATAAACAGCTACTGGCTCTTCTGAAGTGGGTGACATGTATTTCCATTCCTACTGTGACTAAAAAAAATAATTGAAAAGTTGCCTTAGGCATTTAGAAAAATGTGGTCATAAATTAAAATAAAAAAAATAATACATGAATTGTTAAACTCTTTAGAAGGTAGTAATGAGGAGAGCAGAGATGAAAATGTGATCTACAATGAATTATTATTATCCAAGTATATATGGAACATTTAGGAATCTTCATAAACACTGCTGTAAAGAAGCTTGTGATTGGAGTGGGAGTAGAAGAAGGATGTGATCAGGTTGTTGTCATGACTTAAAAGAGAATCAATACAAATAAAACTAAAATTGATTAAAGAATATGGTTCATACTATCATTGAATAGACTATTGTATATCAGGTACACAAAAAATATTTTGATTGCGATTGCTAAATGAATTATTTTTTATTTGCAGAGAAAGACAAACACCTCAGTAACTACTCAACAGTTTTAATAACAATGATAGAAAATATAGTTATAAAATTCACAAAATTATTTTATCCATCTCTAATATGAAAAAAAATATTTGCACTTTGCTTGTTTATTAGTGAATCAAACATCAATTTTGAGATTGTAATTATAATTGAAGAACAATGACTGCAAAGTTAATTTTATCTTTATTAGAATGGTTTCCAAGGCAATGAAAAATAATACAGTATTTACAGATTCTTGAAAGAGTTATTCAAAACTTTTACAAGAACCTGTAAATACATCTACCATTTTAATAAAAATATGTCTTATAAAATTTTGAAGAATATAATTTTTCTTCATCCATTTCAATTCTGTGAGAGTCATTAATTATATAAAATGAAAGAACATTTAATCAGAAAATTTTTTAAAAAACTTAGTAAAATCAGTCTTTAGTACCTCAGTAAAATCAGGTCACCTCTAGTCACAATAAATTTTGATAGTAACTTAGAAGCGTGACTATTACTTTTATGTGATTATTTATATCATATAATAAAATATCAAAGAGTTAATAATAATAATGATAATAATAAAGACAATGTATTCCTAAAATGTTGAAATTTTTTCTTAAAGTGAATATCAGTTAAGTAATATTTATTCTGAAAATAAATTTCTTTTTTTAAATTGAGCTTTTTTTTCACTTAATGCTATATATGTCTAATAATCTTAACTACTGAGCATTGCAAGACAGTTATTTACTAGTCACCAAATATAACCCACTTTGACATTAATAGAGTCCTGAATAAACAATGAGTTAATGATCACTATTTCTATGGTATGCTACCCATAGATCTTTGAGCAGCTTGTATTGTTTATAATTTTTATTACTATATTATTAAAATAGGATGTCATTCTTAACTGCACCAACTAATAATTCTGGTGATGTATTCAAGAATTATACAAATTTGAAATTTTTTTTTTTTAGAGGAAATGAATTTTATTAAAAAAATATTGGTCAAATAAAACTCAACTGCATAGCAAATCTTAAAAAAATTTTTTATTGAAGTTACTCTAATAAAAAAAAAATTATAAGATTTGCTCTTGGGTAAATGATTCATTAAAATTTAAGGTAACTAAATGAATAAATAAATTTTAGAATTTAAACAATAATAAGAAAAAATAAAGAGAGGGACAGTGTTCAAGTAATTTTAAAATGAAACAGTTCTATAAAAAATGTAGAAATTAGACTTTCTGAGATGAGTATTTCAATTTTAAGTAAACAAAATATTCATTATAGTTTGAAAAACTAGTCCCATATTGTTAGTAATTCACTAGCTTCTATATGAATGAGATTTGATAATTTATCTCCCTTCGAAAAAAAAAAAAAAAGATAAAATCCAAGTAGAAAATGTACTTCAGTGATTGATGATGATCTCAAACAGCCAGGTTTGTATTGTGCTCTAGTAATCGTAGAGAAAATAAATGAGGTTAATTCTGGATAACAGCTTCATGGTAAAAGTACTGAACTGGAAATCATGAGTACTAGTTTGTTTTATTCACCAATAAAAAAAGTCTTTACTTTTAAAACCAGGGTAAGAAGAAAGGGATTTTCTTTAATCAGTGATTCAAAGCATCATAAAATGCTCATGATTTCATTTCAATGTTAACACACATAAAATTCAATTTAGTTTATGAGCTTTTTTGAAAGATAAAATATTGTACAAGAGCTATGAAGTTAAGGTTCAATTCCTTCTTCAATTCTTTTTCTGTAACTTTTATATTGTTGTATTTCAGATGTGATTATGATAAATAGAAAAATATAGGTCAGCCTACCTTTTACATTGTTTCACATGAGAAGGATACAGCATTCAAAATGATACCAATCCAACAAAGTCCAGAAAGAAAGATTAAACAGTTTTTCTATTAATAATTTACCAATAGAAGCTAGTAAAGTTCACATTTTCCAAGAAGGAATATATATAGACAACATATAAGAAAGGCATGTTACAACAACAGGTCATGTGACCTGGATAAGTAGTAGCTGAGAGAAGGATCACTGAAGTTATGAAAATGTCATTTTGATGCTTGACATGGACAGTTGACATGCTAAAAAAAACATGAAGCTGGATTAAGGATTCATCCAGCCTACGGCATGAAATGACTAATGAAGAGACAGGTATTTGCAGAGGTAGAATGTACAATCTAATCATCTGATGACTGAATGTACAGGTGGAAGAGAGATACAGTTTTAAAAAGGACTGACACTCTAAAAATTCTTTTGCTTGTGTGTACAAATAGATTTATTTTCAAAAAATTCAGATAGCCCAAGGGACACAAGATTTTAGGGTAAAAACAGTTCTGCTCAAACCAAAATGATTAAAATTCAGACAAATAACAAAATATTTTAAAATACTTGACGGGATTAAATCAATATATTTTAAAAGTTTCTCATCTGTCGGTTAAACAACTTAAAAAAATGACAAAATAATATATTTAATTTTCAAACTGTTATAAAATATAATAGATATACTAAGGAATGAGAAAAGATAGTTGGACCATATTTTAGTCAATGGATGATTAAAAGTTTATCCAATAAAGCTATATGTCATATAAAAGAGAAAAATCCTGAATGAGCTTTTTTTTAAAATAAATTTTAGCTACATAATCTCCTGCAAAGGAACATAATTTGAAGAGTGAGGTAGATTTTTAAAAATATTTTTCTTTATTTTAATACTTTTGCTACTATTTAACATGAAGAAATTGTAAAATTACTGAGACCTTGTTCATATTTACTTACAGAATCAAAATCAATTAAGTGAAATAATATAATGAAATGATATAATGAAATTAAATTATGAATGATAATAAAAAAATTCCTGGTTTCTTGTATGATGTAATGGAATAACCTGTCGACCCCATGAGTGACTACACTATAGGTAGTAACTACCTATAAGTATCTGTAAGTCAATGGACTACAGAGACTAGCTGGGATCTGTTGAGTACGACTCAGACTTATGCAAGAACTACTGACCGTGTTTGTCAAGTATATATTCCTATTAGCACAGAATATAACATAGCAAATATCCAATGCAATTTGATTAAGCTAAGAAACCATATTGTTTCCCAGATGAACCATGACATACAAAGGTGCATTCCAAAGGTTTTGAGACTTTTTAGGAGAAGCACCCCAATTATTGTAATTTTAGCCTATCATTACTATACATCTAATAAGCTGACCTACTAACTTTTGTTATTCCAAATAAGATAGGAGGTGGTTTTAACAGCTCTTGGAACACATCCTACAAAACACTGCTTGTTACAGCTGACTTGTTTGTAAGAATGGAGTCAGGGCATGAAGACAATTTGGAAGCTCACTATGCAATAAAGTTTTGTGTTAAACTGGGCAAAAATGCTACAGAAACTTATGAAATACTCCAGACTGCTTATGGATTAATTTGTATGAGCTCAGCATCTTTTTCTTTTTTTTCTTTTTGTTGGCACAAGAGATTCAAGGATGGCAGAGAGTCAATGAGATGTGGGAGTGAAATGGACATCAAAACATCAGAGCTGGTTGAGAAACTTTGCAATTTTCTGGATGAAGACCGTCAAGTGTCTATAAAGACAATAAGCATACAGTTTTCAGTTGGTTGACAAGTGTACCCAATTATTCATGAAAATCTGAACATGCGTAAAATTTGTTTCCAGAGTGTTCAGTAACGAACCAAAGAAAAGATGTGTTGGTAACCAACTACTTCATAGAGATGGGCATCAAAACTGTCCGTC